CCTTCTAAGGAGGTATCGTTGGGAGGTAATAGATATTTGGTTTTTATAGTTGGGGACTGTTCTAGGCATTGGTGGATTGTAACCAAGTCCTATTGGTTTGAAATCCTAGAAGTCAACAACAGATGGAGAAAGTGTGTTGGCAGAAATATAACCCGTCATTTTATTTTTAGTAGGGGTTCTTTCTTGCATTTGTGCCGAGATCACAACAGTTTGAGACACTTCATTGGAGAGGAGACATTGGGGTGACGAGATGAGATGACAATTTTGATAGATCGTTCCTTACTGGAGGAGGATCGACGTTTGTTATCGAGCATTGGATTGCAGAGGAGTTTTGGAGATTCGACATATTTGGATCATCGTAGTCATAGGTTGTCTACTGCTGTGTTTGTAGTTATTAGATCTGGTGGAACTGCTTCAAATTTTGGGTTACGTCCGATATTTGGTTGCCCAGCATTTGGTCACATCGAGGATGTAAGATTTGATCCGATTGTACATTTGTGATTCAGAGGCTTATTTGGTTATCAGTTGGGAGACTCTAATTTTGTTCTGAGCAGTTTTGTCACATTTGACTCTGGGCAGGTAGAGAGTATTGATTAGATCATTGGGATATCGCAGGGGTGAAGGATGATACTACTCCACGTTGGGTGGAGATTACTCCACATACTCCAGATCATACTGCATCGTTTGGGATTCCAGCTGAGGTGACTCCACATACTCCAGATCATACTGCATCGTTTGGGATTCCAGCTGAGGTGACACAGTTTGGGGATCATTTGGATTTGGATTGGGATTCCAGCTGAGGTGACACAGTTTGGGGATCATTTGGATTTGGATGCAGATGATGAGTTGGTTTTTGATTCGAGTGCAGCTGGTGGATATAGTTCGCATTTGGTTATGGTCATTGGTTCATCTCAGATAGAGGTGTTTAGTTTGTTTCACTTTGGGGCCATTGAGAGTTCTATCAGCCGCAGATTTGTTGATGATGTTGGAGAAGGGTTGCGAACTCTTCTATTGGATTAAGGGTATTTGGAGGCCATTTGGTGAACTACGTGAAGACTTGATTCCTCGGACAAGAGGATACGTAGTCAGTTATTTATGATGCAGCCGATTTGGTGAGTTGATACCGACATTTGGAATTTATTCGCATTCTCGTTTGGGTTCTCGACTTGTTGTGAATTGAGTCTGTTATCGTGGATTTATTCTACTTCGTACTGGACGCAACAAGTAAGACATTTGGTTGGTATTGGTATCGGCCCAGTTTTGGAAAAACATCACCGATGTAGAGAATTGTTAGATAGCAGGTTCCTAATATGTTTTGGTAACAGGTTATTGGGATTCTTAATCTATTTTGGTAACAAGATTCTAAATCTGTTTTGGTAACATGTTATTAGGATTCCTAATCTGTTTTGTTTTTGGTTTTAGAATTCCTAGTATGTTTTTGGTTTTAGGATTTCTATATATATAGAACAATTGAAAGAGAGAATTGATCAGCGAAGGGGATATTTAATTTGGAGCAAAAAAGAGGTATTTTCTGGAGCTATTTGTTAGGAATCTTGACCCCAAGATTAGTTTATTTTGATGAGAACAAATATTATATGTTGTGTGTATTATGTGCTAACATTTGTTTTGCAGTATCAGAGTTATATCAACAATTATATTCAAAGAGATACTCAAGACATAGATGAGTTCAAGGCAAAATGAAGTAAAGAAGAAGATATACTTTATTGTCAAAATGTAATTTTATATTTTCTTTGCTTAGAAATTTGTACAAGCCTTGATCACTCACACACATGCATACACATAGTGTTAAAACACACTAACACATGCTTAGTGTGTTGGTTAACAATAGAAATCCCCTATGTTAGCTATTAAAGATTATAGATATTGAGTGAGTCTTAAAATATTTTATTTATGCCCCTTATCAATTAGAATCTGGAAAAACTCAAAGATCAAAGTTGTAGGTCTCTTCAAGAGCTTTCTAACAAATCTTAAATCACCTCATTCCGATATCGGATGAGAAAGTTACAGTCAAAATACTAAAAAGAAAATTCCAGAATCTGTGAGTTTACAGTGTAGTCGACTACTATGCCTTGTAGTCGACTACTAAGTAATTTTCTGACTTCACAGAGTCTGTTTAGACTCAGTGTAGTCGACTACTATGGCTTGTAGTCGACTACAGATGCAGTTTTCCATATTTCAGGTTTTAAATAAGTGACTGTTTATAGCCGTTTTGTGGACGTTAATTGGGTTTAAAATTATGTCATTTCAGAGGCTATAAATAGGTTTAAACATCAGAAAACAACAACCAAGTTTTGCACTTGCAAGATCAATTTAGGTTTTCAATCTGTTTTTCTATAAAAGAGAGTTTCTGATATTGCCTTTGTTCCTATCATTCTTAGAGCTTGTTTAGACAATATTCAGAGAGTTAAAAAGATTGATAAGCCATTGTTATACATTCACATCTATATTAAGGCTTATAGGATTGGAATTGTACATTGCTTCAAAGAAAGGCTCTCTTGGTTTATGAGAGGGGTTGATCTCTTGGTCTAGAGATCGGTGTGACGATTGGCATGGTCTTGTCAATTGGGTTTGTAATTTGCATGGTCTTGCAAATTGGTCAGGTTTGCTTTTGATTTTGTAAGGTTTTAAAATCATAGTGGAAACTCTCAAGCGGGATTTGCTTGAGGACTGGATGTACACCGGGGAGGTGGAACCAGTATACATGCTTGTGTTTGTGATGTTCATTTTCTGATATTGCCATTCTTTCTTTGCAATTTATAACCTACTTTGCATAAATTTTAAAAGAACACTATTCACTCCCCTCTAGTGTTCTAGTGTATCTATTTCAGATCCTACACTATTGGTTAGAGTTTTGTTTGGAGAGAATTAGAGATTTGTTGGTGAGATTAGTTGATTGTTTTGAGGGATTTGTAATCTCAGTTTGTACTATTCTTCTCTATTAGTGAAAACTCCATCCCCTTCTTACCCCGTGGACGTAGGCAACTTGCCGAACCACGTTAAAATTGGTTGTTTGAGTTTGTGCTATTATTTTGCATTGTTTGGCCTTCTCTCGGCGTTTGTTTGATTTGATCTCTCGAAGCACATCGGTTGTTTGGCTTCCGCTGCGCACAATAGATTCCAAGAGGAGTGGCGTCAGTAGTAAAGTCTAGAGAGAGGTTGTAGATCCGAGTACTTGAGGAAGACGACACGGGATAGGCCAACACCTAGAAGCTGTAGAGTGTGATTGTAAGAGTGTGAGTTGTGAAAGTTTTCGATGAGCTAGAAAACCGAGATTGTGTGAGTTTGTAAACGTTTTCGGTAATCGTAGAAAACCGGTTGAGATAGTGGAGATTCTCCTCGAGAGTGAGGAGCGGAGACGTAGGTCGAGGGTGACCGAACTCCGTGATCATATTGTGTATTTGAGTTTGCATTTGCGTATTATTTGTGCTTATTATTTATTTCATTCTATATCACCATTGTCTCATGTTTATATCCCCATTGTTTTAATTACATATCCTTGCATATAATTTCTTGTATATCATAATTCCTAGGATAATTGTTAATAAGTTTTAAATTTGCATTAAATCGGAGTAGATTAGCACATTAGCATATTCACCCCCTGTAGGGTAATTTCATTTGGTATCAGGACACTTTTACCACCAACCCAAAATACTATTCCACCAACCCTTTTGAAGGCTATAAATAGACGAGAATGGTGAGGGGTTAGAGCATCGAACAAAGATCCAGAATAGAGAGAAAAAGAAAGAGAGAGTTGAAGAGAAAAAGAAAAAGATAGTTTTCTTTGAGTGTTTTCATCTTTGTGTGAGTTTGGTGAGACATTAGAGTGATTTCCCTTTGTAATCTTCTCTTTTGTGATTAGTGAAGTCTACTGTTGTTCTCACCCGTGGACGTAGGTCATACTGACCGAACCACGTTAAATTCTTATGTGCTGTTCTCTCTGTCTCTACTGTGTTTAGTCAGTGTTGTTATTATCCACTTTTGTATAGACATATGCTGTGTCTGTGTAGCCCCCTCTTTGCAATAAACTGTTATACTTGTACTCTACAACCTAATCTTCATTGGTGCACAGGTCCATGTTAGCATATGCAAATAAACATAAGAAAAAAGTCGAAGAGCTTATTTTGGGTCTGGATCCCAATGAAACTTTAACCATTGGAGGTTTCCATATCCCATTTTTATCTAGTAATTTAAATGTATTTCAACGTAGTTATAAGGCTATATATACTAAAAGAATGAAGATGCGTTTACTTAGGGTATCTTTGGGATTAAAATAAGAGTTTTTTTTAACCTTTTCTACTCTTCCTAGTTTAATAAGTGATTCTCTTCTCCTAGCCCATGGATATAGGTTTCTTAAGTCAAGTCCATCCAACTATTACACCAAAATGCTGAAGTTATAGTGAGGGTCGGGGATTATAGTTTTATATTAATTCTAACATGCCCTCCGCAGGTTGAGCGTCTTTTTTATGGGTTGAAAACCTGAACTCACGTAGCGGTGATAATTTTTTAAAATCCGCATTAAATTTGTGGCTAACAAGATTTGAATCCGGATTACTTTGATTCCATCTTAAATTAAGTCCATTTAACTATTACACCAAAATTTTGAAGTTTGATGAGGATGGGAGATTATAGTTTTATATTAATTCTAGCAAGTTTCAAAACAGAACCATGTTACTTTCATGTGTTGCTTGTTGCCTTCTCAATATTTTCCTTGTTCGTGTGCTCAACCATTTATGTATGTATACGCATCTTTTTGTCACTTTCTATATATTTTGGTAGAAGGAAACACCTTTATATATACGTGAGCTTTGATTTTCTTGGAATTACGTACGAGGCTTATTGAATCATGAAATTAAGTAGAACTGCCAGGACCATTTCCTTCTATAACTAAGAGCCTTATTGAAAATCTAGCGTGCTTAAATAGATATTCGATCAAGCAATAAAGTGGTAACTTCATTTTTCTTTTAATTTTACATTATCAGCTAGAGAGCCAATATGAGCGGTACTTTCATCAGATGGACACAGTGGTGGCATCATTTGAAGCAGTAGCAGGTGTAGAAGCTGCAGCATCCTACACTGCCCTCACCATCCAAGCAATGTCTAAACACTTCTCCAACCTGAGGTGTGCCATAATCACTCAGATAAATTCTTCAAGTGACTCTCTGTCAAAAGATACGCCTAGATCCCATGGCGACGTTTCTCATGAGAACAGCAAACAGAAGAGAGAGACTCTTCAGCAGCTCAGCATGATGCAGATTCGACAAGTTTGGAGGCCATTAAAGGGACTGCCGGAAGAATCAGTTGCCTGCCTTCGATCGTGGCTTTTCAAACATTTTCTTCATCCGTAAGTTTCGAAATCAGCAATTGGGTAAATTTCACAGAGTGCACTTTAACTTTGCCTGTCTTATGAGATAACCCCCGAACTTTTTAAACGTCACTTGAGCCTCCTTAACTTTTGGGCTTCTCACTCTTCAACTTAGCCCAATTTTTTGATTGGATGAAAATACTCCCCAGAAAAAGAAAAAGAAAAAAAAAGAAGGCGGTTTTGGGGTTAAAATGATTAAAAAGGACACGGAGGGGTTTTCTTTTTCCCACCAGGCACATTTTAGTCACCGATGTGATTTTCGCGTGTGTAATTAGATCAGTGTTAATAGGGGGGTTATCTGACAAACATAAAGGGGGGTTAAGTGATATTTATAGAAGTTTGAGGGTTATCTCCCAAATGGGCCGAACGTAAGGGAGATTTGTGAAAATTATCCATTTGCAATGTTAGCTTACCTCCCGTTTCTTTTTCTTACTTTATATATTATATATATATATATATATAGTTATATTTTTTTTTTTTTTTTTTTTTTTTTTTTTTTGTTATATATATATATATATATATATATACCTATATATATATATTATATATATTATATTAGTATATATATATATTATATACTAACTAATAGCGTTATAAACAGTTTATCCCTACCAATAAAGGCAGAAACATTACATTAGCCTTCCCAGACAGTGCGTTGTACGCAGAAAACCAAGTAACTTTCTATAGCTGATTTATTTTGTATAGTTTTGATACCAGATCGACATTATTTCTTCAAAGGGACAAGAATAGACCTAATTTGAGTGACTGTTTCAGATATCGAATTGGTTTATAAATGCTCGCGTTAGGCTGTGGAAGCCGATGATAGAAGAGATGTATAGGGAGGAGCTTGCAGAAGATATGCAGTCCCCCCATCTGGACTTCTAGGCGTTAGAAAACACTTCAACATGGGCAGATTTAATGGATGGATATTCTTGCAAGAGTTGGGAGTTTGTTCATCCATCATAACTTTGTATTCGGCTCCTTACGAATGTGGAAATTGTAGTCATCCTGATTTGCAATGAGTTAATAATAGATGTCATTAATGTATCCTTCAGAAACTACCTGTCGCCATCAGGATTCTTGCCTGTACAAACAAGTACTTTGTTGAAGAAACTGGCTTACAATATATCCTCTTTTTTTAGCTATTCTTCTCATATACTGATCGATCCGGTTTGATAATATTGTAATGTATCATAAACGTCATGACTGATTTGCTCAATTTTTCTTTAGAAAAATTTGGAATGTAAAAGGTAGACTTGATTAGGGAAAAACATCAGCTTATATTCTTATTCTTATTCTTTTCTTGGTACAATGGACTATCCTATTTTTGTTTGAGGAGCGGCTTTTCTGTTTCAGTCCAGATCAAATGTTTAATTGTAACCATGATAAATGAATAGAGTACTGGCTACACTTTTTGAAAGTCATGATTTGATGGAGTAAACTTTTTAACCATCCCTGTTGGAGCTACATGTTTTGTCAATAATTAGGAATTTATTTCTTATAAGGTTGTGCGTACCGCCTACATATAAACGTGAAAATGGACGCACATGTCATTGCATGTGCAATGTACAGATGTATGAATAATATGAAACTTCCTTGCATATTTAAGTTTGTGCTTTCATCTTTTTACTCATTTTTAGCAGAAAAATGTTAATTTTTGTCTAAGCATGACATTGTTTGTTTGTAACATTCAAATGTGTCTCACTTTCATATATTTACACAACCTGTTATGCTTATCATTTAATTAGAGTTTCTGCCTTGCCTAATATCATATCATATATACAAACAAATAGCAATAAATTTTTTATCAAAAAACACATTTCTTTGATGAATGTTATTTAGTTATGAAGCTTTTGGGGATAGTTGAGACAAAAATAATAGTTTTTTTTCCTAGAAATCACCTTAAAAATAGGGTAATTATACGGAAACCATCTTTCATTTTTAATTTATACATAAACCATCTTAAAAGTTAGTTTTTGTTGCAATCAACCACCTCCAAGTCAAATTCTTCACTTAAAACCCAAAATTACCCTTAAAAACTCACATTCAATGTACATGACGCATTTTTTTAGTAATTGGATCTTATTAGGATACAACTCACGTACCTTGAAGTTGAATTTTCTAAGCTTAATTTTAGTTATTTAGGGAAAATTTGACTAGCTAGGAGGTGGTTGATTGCAACAAAAACCAACTTTTAAGATGGTTTATGTATAAATTGAAAATGAAAGTTGGTCTTCGTATAATTATCCTATTATTAAGGTGGTTTCTAGGTAAAAACCCAAAATAATATTATCCAATTCATATAAAGTTACATTAATTCAAAGTAATAGCATGTGGAAAAGTCACTAAAATAACATATGTGAAAATTTAAAACATGAAGTTCCATTCAATATAAAAATCTAAAAGTTGCTAAACAAAATTTAAACGACTATTATTTCAGTTCGATCTTTATATAAGCATCATACTCCCTCCAATCCAAAATGAATGTCTTTTTAGTTAAAACACACAAATTAAGAAAAGGAGAAAGATTACCCATATACCCTCATCCTAGTATAAAGCTTCCTCACGTTTCAAAATTTCAAAATTTCAAAAGGAGAAAGATTACAAAAGGAGAAAGATTACCCATTTCAAAATTTCAAAATTTCAAAATTTCAAAATTTCAAAATTTCAAAATTTCAAAATTTCAAAAGGAGAAAGATTACCCATTTCAAAATTTCAACTCAAGTCCTAAAGATGGAGTACCTTTTTCTGCCATGAGATTTGATTTTGAAGAATAAATTTGAAATGAAATACTAGTAGTAATCTGGTGTGTGATTTCATCACTTCTAATACTTGTATTTTGAGGAGAAGTGACGCTTGGGAAGAAGCTACAGTAATAAATTGCTTTTCTGAGTTCTATGCAACAGAGGGATAGAAATGGAATAAGTAGCAAATTAAGCCTTGGATATTGTAAAGCGACAACTAAAATGGATTTTGATAAAAAAGCTAAAAAGACATTCATTTTGGATTGGAGGGAGTAGATTCCAACCAGTTTTAATTGCTTCAACAATCTGGTTCAACCTTTGTTTTCTTTGTCATCATCTGGTACTTAATTTCCATCATACGTCTTTTCGCTGGATTCTCAATCTTACTACTTTCTGTGGCCTTAATTGTAGTAGAAGAATTTACCTCTTCAAAATTGCTTCTAGGCCCCAAAATCTAACTTTCAATGTGCTCCAACCCCCCATATTTTTTTAAATGTACTGTAGACCCTTGTTTTTGAAAAAATTATGCCCAGGCCCCTCCATCATGGTTCCAGCTCATGCCAACAGATGATTAGACATACCAGCTCATGATTAGACATGCCAGCTGGCTTAAATCCTAATTTTACCCTTCTCTTTCTTATGCCAGCGGATGTTAACTCTTACAATTAACATGTTAACTCTTAGAGCTAACATGTTAACTCTTATGGTTAACATGTTAACTCTTAGGGTTAACATGTTAACTCTTACAGATAATATGTTATCTGTTAAGAGTTAACATGTTAACCCTAAGAGTTAACATGTTACCGAATTTAACATTGTTATTATAATACCAGTGTCGCCGGGCTGCGAAGTATCCGGGACGAGCGCGCGGCGAGTGGTGGAGGGGGGAAGAGGAATGGAGGGGAGGAGGTAGGTTGTTAGCGGCGAACGCTGCGCGCCGGAGGGAGCTGTGGGGGAGGAGGGGAGGCGGCGGCAATTGGGAAGGCACTAGCGCGGACCGCGTGGAGGCGTTGGGAAGACGTCTGCGGCGGGCGGGAGGGAGGCGGCGCTGCCCCGCGCCGCGGCGCCCCTGCGGGGCGGGGGCAGAGGAGGAATTAAGGAGGAGGAGAGGTGTGTGGGGAGGTGCAGTGAAGGGGGGAGGCCGGCGGGGACCGGGAGTGAGGTTCGAGCGGGGCGAGGGAGGGGGGGGCGACGCGTGGAGGCGCTGGAGGCGGAGCCGTGGGAGGGAGACGGAGGTAGGAGGGGAGCGGCGGGCAGAGGAGGACGGAGGAAGAGGGGAGAGGGTGTAGGCAAGTGGTAATTGAGATTTTTTGAGAGGTTGATTTGGAACTTGGGGTAGAGGTGGCAGACTAACTCTCTCTCTCGCTCCGCGCCGTGCGCAATTGTTGAAAGTTGGGTGCGGGGGGTTCGGGGGGGGGGCACATTGAAAGTTGGATTTTGGGGCCTAGAAGCAAATTTTCCAATTTTCTTATGTCTTAAGCTGTTACACATCCTGCTCTTCGATTTCCTTCATCCTTGTCAATTACCCTCATTAGAAAAACATTCCTTGTCAATTACCCTCATTAGAAAAACATACTCTTTATCTTTGCGTTTCATCATATTTTTGTAACACTCAGATATTTCATCTTCAAAATTAACAATGTAGTCAACTGCTGAGCTATGAATCAAGAATTCTGCTTCATCAAATAGTGTAACATATGCAGTTTCTTTTCCGCCATTCACTTCCAAACGAAGTTTATACCTATAAAAAAATATTAGTATGTTTTTTAGTACGATGAGTTTATCTTATAAAACCTTAGTGTCCAATCTACATTCGGAAGATTGCAGTGTAAACAATCCCTTATGTCATGTATGTTGGGGATTTGACCTATCTAAAACCTGTCAAATGAACCCTCTAGCGGAATGTGCCTGATAATCACATTTTATTATAATTTTATACCCTCATTATCTATTTTATATGAATAAATAGGCAATTAATAATTGTTTTTATCTTTAATTGCAGGTTAGTAAAGAATAAAGCCCAAGATCTCTTATCTCAATAAAAACCCATGAATTAAATAAAGAACACAAGCAAGAGTCAAAAAACCCAAGCCCAAAATCAAGCCGAGTAGCCTGTAGAAGCCGGAGAAAATAAAAAATTAAATATGAAAAAAATGTATTCAAGATAGTTGGCCGCAAAGAAACGACGATATCTCCCAATCCGGAAGGCGGAATTTAACATATAATATATGAAAATCGCCTATCTCGACGAGACGAAGCCAACCGTGAAGTCAGAATTCTTATTGGAGCATCGATGCGGGCATCGATGCCTGTATCGATGCGAAGTCATCCAGATTGCATCAACGGCCGAAATTACATTCTTGGGGCTCAAGTTTCATCCAATGGCTCTCATTCACTGATGTTTACTATAAATAGGGGTTGAGAGTGAGGGGTTAGAGGTGTGAAAATTTTTGTAACTCCTTTTGGAGAGGAGGGCTACTCTTAATTGAGAAGGCCTTCCAAATTTGTAATTTTTTGTTACAATTAATAATAATAATTTTTTCACCACTTTAGATATTTCTTCTCTTTGTTGGATGATGAAGATGGAGATGAATAATTATTTAGAGGTTTGCATTTCTTTTTTTTTTCTCTTTTATTTCTTTTTATTTGCTTATTAGTTTAGATTTATTTCTATGCTTATAATTAGATTTTATTTTCTTGTTAAATAGCCAAGAGGCTAGAACCCTCTTGCCTTAGATTTATTTCATGCTTATAGATTAAATTTATTTCATGCTTATAGAGTAGATTTATTTTTTTATATTTAATTCTTACAATTTATTTTGTAGTTTAGATTTTGCAATTTATTTTGTAGTTAGATTTTTATTTCTTACACTATTCACCTTGAGGCTAGAACCCTCTTGGGTTTAGTTTTTTTTTGTTTATTTTTATTTTATTTGATTCGCCTTTAGGCTAGAACCCTCTAGGGAATCACCATTTTCTAAGAAGTGGGTTCAATTTTAGATTACCCATATCTATAATTGAACCCACCATTTTTAATTTCTTACATTTTCTTTTATTCTTGACTTTTATTTTTTATTCTTGATTTTTATTTGATTTTTCCTTCTTGCCTTATTAATCACATTCATTCTTTGTCACATCCACTCTTACTTACATTTTTCGCCTATTTACACACCATTTTTACTCTCTCAATCTCTTCACAATCACATTCACTCATCACTCCTAATTGTCACGCACACAACATAAGAACCGATTTTATATTTTCTCCTACAAAAACACCATCCTCGTGTGATCGATATCTTTATACTATAACTTGACACAGTTGTACACTTGCAACCTTTTTGGTACATGTTTATGCCGCATCAAGTTTTTGACGCTGTTGCCGGGGAAGGGCTTAAGTAGGTTTTAATTATTTTGGTTCTTTAACTTGTGCGTTTATTGTGAAGGAAACACTTGGAGCTTGAAGATCGCGGATTGGAGAACTAGGATTTGAAGATTTGCTTTCGGGTAAGTTTTTTTTCTAGCATTTTCAATTCCACCCTTTTAGTTAGCTT